TTTTGTACCTTATAATATAGAGAAGATTTTCCAAAAAGTCCCGAAATGGGCCTGATGTGTTAAATGAGTTTTAAAATATTTTCAAAAATCACTTGCAAGCATCACAGTGGGATTTTGTTTACATTTAACTTTTTAAAACTGTTTACAGCGTAGACCCTTTTATTTAAAACAAAGAACACTCAAATATATTAAAAATTATACGCTGTAGACAGTTTTAGAAAGTTAATTGTAAAAAAATCCCACTGTGATGCATGCAATTGATTTTTGAAAATATTTTAAAACTCATTTAACACATCAGGCCCATTTCGGGACTTTTTGGAAAATCTTCTCTATATTATAAGGTACAAAAAAATAAAAAAAAAATCCGGCCCAAAGTTAAAAAAATTAATTTGTTTATAAAAAAAAAATTTTTTTTAATAAAAAATTAAAAAAAAAATTTTTTTGTTTACATTTCTTAAAAGTCGAAAAAAAACTAAAACTTTCATTCTTTGACAACTTTTTCCTAAATAAGTTTTTTTTATTGAATATACTTTTCAAAAAATAAATATTACTGGAAAACAGCAAAATATTAAATTATTCATAACAAATAGGAAAAAAATTTCAATTAACTTTCTATTCATAGTAAACGATCGTAGGAAGCTCCTCAACTGTTTACGTTTGTAAACTGAAAAATATTGTGCTTTTTAAAAAAATTATCCTTTGTTGTATGAACATTTTTTTTTATTTTTAGAAACAAATAAAGAATTTCAGAAACTTTTTATTAAAAATCGACTTCTAACAATCGATGCACAATTTTAGAAAGTTTAATTTAAAAATAAATGTAATAAATTTTATTAAAAAATAAAGCTCTTTTGTTTTGCCCAAAGCTGTGTATTTTGCCACATTGTTATGTAATTTTTCAAAATTAAAATGATTTCCTGGGGATGTTTGTACAAAATAATAAAATGAACAAGTTGGAATTAATAAAAAATATATCTCTACAATAGAAAATCATTTCGCCGCCACTTATTCTTCCGTACATAATTAATTCTTATTGTTTATATTTTCAAAAATTTGAATATAATTCTTCGCGAGAATTCAATTATTTTCATAAATAATAAAATTCTTCAGAAGAATTTTATTATTTTTAAAAATATAGTAACATTTTTTTCAAAAATTCAATTTTAAATAAATAAATTAATGCTGATGTGTCTGAATTTGTTCGCAGTTTGAAGTTAGTTCTTATTTGCTTCTTAACTTTTTTTATAAAAATTTTCTTTTCATATGTTTTGAATTTTAAAATTAATGTACTGAAAATTACTAAATTCTCGCAAAGTTTTTATTCCAAAAATTTGAAAACAATTAAAGTCATTTGAAGAATTTTATCAAAAAATTTTTTTTAAATAATTAAATTCTTTCGAGAAACTTTAATTAAAATTGTATTAAAATGTAAATTTGACATCAAATTCGTAATCAGCGACCCCGAAAACCCCTTTACGGAGTCTTTTTTATAACAAATAAATCAGTAATGCAAAAGTTGACAGTTCTTCTGACAGCTGTCAACTGTCAAAATGTCAATTTGACATCAAATTCGTAATCAGCGACCCCAAAAACCTTAAGAAACTCTGTATTTCTTTTTATTAATTTTTTAATGTTCGGATAATGTAAGACAATTTTGCTTCGAAGTGTGCGCCATCTTGAATACGCCATTTTTAATTTTTTGCGAATTTTTCAAAATGGCGACGATATTTGTATTCAGTGGTTCAAAACACTTCACATAGTGAGCTTGGAAAAATTTTTTTGAGTTCAGCGTCCGTACATGAGCTAACTGACTTTTTTAAACAATTTTTCCGATTTGCATAAACATTTTATTATTTTTTTTTTTTTTTTTAAAATTTTCTATTGTTTACTTTTATTTTTTTTGGATACCTGGACCGATGTTGAGGAAATCAAGTCCAACCCAGTTAAAAAATATTAATATTTAAAAAAGTTACAGTGGTTTTTGTAAGTGGGACATACATATATATGTCCCGCAGGCGTTAAAAGGTTATATTTGCAAATATGAAATTTTCGAATTTGCAAAATTATAAGTGGAACAGTAGCATTTACTGTATAGTAATTAATAATTATTACATTTATTATTATAATCATAAGAATTTTTCTTGAAAAAAAATTTTTTTTGACTTTTTTTGAAAATAATTGAGTTTCTGAAAAGCATTTTATTATTTATGAAAATAATTGAATTCTTGCGAACGATTTTATTAGAATTTTTTAAATAATTGAATTTCCAAGAAAAAATATATTACTTTTAAAAATAATTGAATTCTTGTGATGAATATTGTTATTTATGAAAATAATTGATTTTTGCAAAGAATTTGATTAAAATGTCCTAAAAATAATTGAATTTTCGGGAATAATTTTGTTACTTATCTTTAATAATTGAATTCTTTTGAAGAATTATTTATGTAAATAATTGAATTCTTGAGAAAAAATGTTATTAAAATCTAATAGAAGAATTGAATTATTTAAAAAAAAAAATTTTACTAAAATTGTATTTAAAATAATTTATTTCATTCGAAAAATTTTATTAAAATATTAAATATTTGAAAATAATTGAATTCCTTGTGAAAAATTCAAATATGTTTGTAAATAATTGAATTCTACAAAGAAATTTTTAAAAAACATTTGTGACGCGACCCCAAGAAAGGTACCTAAGAAGCAAACGAATTATAGGTTGGGTTCGAGTTAGATTTATCTTGATTAAAAGTTGATTTTTAATTATTTAAATTTGAAACCAATATTCATGAAATATTTTGAATATAATAAAGACTTGAAGACCAACAATTTTTAATTATTAATTGATTCTCTTTCTGTATTTTTTTTACTCAAAAAATTTAAAACATAACCTCAAATTTTTGCTTCTTCTTAGGTACCTTTCTTGGGAACGCGTCACATTTCTTTAAATAATTTATTTTTCCAAGGAATTGAAAACAAATTTTTAAAAATAATTACATTTTTTGAGCAATTCCTGTAAAATTGTATTAAAAATAATTGAAATCTTGCGAAAAATTTTATTACTTACGATAATAATTGAATTATTGAGAAAAATTTTATTAAAATTTTCAAAAATAATTGAATTCCTGAGAAGAATTTAGTTATTATTGAAAATAATTGAATTTTGCAAATAATTTTATGAAAATGCCTCAAAATAATTAAATTTCTGTGAAAAATGTTGTTATTTTTGAAAAGAATTTAATTCTTTCAAAAAATGTTATAAACATTGTTTTAAATAATTAATTTTTTCAAAATATAATAAATATTATGAAAATTTTATTTTATTTTCAATAATTGAATTATTTTGGAAAACTTTATTTGTAAAAATAATTGAATTTTTTGATGAGTTTTATTAATTATGAAATAATAATTGAAGTCTTGCTTAGACTTTTAATAAAAATTTAAAAAAAAATGAATTTCCATGAATAATGTTATTATTAGTGAATGTAATTGAATTACTGTGAAAATTGAATAAAAATGTTGTTAAATAATTGATTTTTTCGATATTTTTTTGAAAATGCAATTTTAAATTGTAATTCAATTCCGGTGGAAATTTTATTATTTATGAAAATAATTGAATTTTAAATGAGTTTTATGAATTTTTTTTAAATAATTGAATTGTTTTGCGAAATTTTATGACAATACTAAATATTGAAAATAATTGAATTTCGAATATTTTTTGAAAATAATTGAATTGTTTCAAAGAATTTGATTATAATTTTTTAGAATAGTTTTTCGATTTCTAAATTAGCGAATTTAAAGGAGAGGATAATTAAAAAAAACCAAAAATAGTAAAAAAAACTGAAAAAAATGTCAGCCATATTGGATCCGCCATTTTAAATTCGTAATCATCGACCCTGAAAACCCCGAGTAAGAAATTTTAATCGAATTTGAGCAAATTTTTAAAAACTATTTTCTAGTACTTGCGAAAAAATTATTCAAATGCTAAAGGAAACATTTTGTTTTACAAAAAAAAATTCAATAAAAAAAGAATTTTTTTTATAAACGGACAAAGCAATAATAAGTTAAAATAAAAAAAAAATTTATAAAGCGAAAAATTTCAAATCAACTTGTCATCTTATCTAAATCACTTTGTTTTCCCTGAAAGATATTAATTGAACATGTCATTAAAAATGTATTTAAGAAAAAGTAATTGATTGGTATTATTAATGATTGAAAAGGAATATAGTAAAGTTTACTTTCTCATATTTTCATTTAAATGATAAAAATTGAAATTACTATATATACAAAACTTCTTCTTAGGGCAATGCACGTTTAAAAATAACACTCTTCAATTTTCTCCAATAGCAATTTATTAATTTGTTTTTCAAATTTAAAATCCAACACAATAGAAATGAATATTAAGGACAATAGCGACTTAAAATATTAATTTTCACTTGTCGCCGAGAAAGCTAAACAATAAATTTCAAAACTCTTTGTCTTTTCCAATATACACACAACAACCTACAACACTTTTTTTTTCTCTTGACACAGCGGAATAAAAAGTTCGTATTATTTGTAAACGTTTGAAAACAAACATATCTATTTAATCGAAGAGGAAAAAAAAATGATTTCTAATTATCAAAATTGAAAAAAAATGTTTATTTCGAAAACAGAACTTTTTTTCCCCTTCTATTCGTTTGTCTGCTTGATTAATTTTCAAGTTCAATAAGAAATTGCGAAAATTCATTTTGCTAAGGGAGAGAAAACGTTATAATGTCAACATTGAAAGTTTCACAAGTGGCAGTGTTGGATATAAACGATTCAAGTCGAAAAAAATGTTAACTTTTCTGAGTAAATAAATAAATACGAATTTTATAAATAAATAAACATTTGTCATTTATGAGATTTTTTTTGGGGAATTTGTATAAAAATATTTTCACGAACGATGAGGAGAGAGAGAGAGAGAGAGAAGGGGGAGGGGAAGGGGAGAAAGTGAAAGACAATGATTTTGAAAAAGAACTTACTGTGATATTGGCGTGAATTTCATATTTCTTGCCATTTTTTCCCACGAACCTGCAACTGAGTTCGTCCACACTCGCGGACATTATTTGAAACCTCTCATGGCTCTTGGGGAAGACAGACTCGAGGGTTTTGATCTCTTGTTTAAGGGTGTTCAGGCAAGCCATTTGGGCTTCGCGAACTTTTATGGGGGGAACTCAGACCCGACTTTTTTTAAGGGTAACCAGTCTTTAGACGAGAATAATGAGCAGGTCGCGTTATATCGTGTTGAATCACGATCAACCGATCACCGATAATTTTCCGATAAAATGGCGACTACAACAGAGTAATTGACCGCTCGCCTAAACTCGTTCCAATTCGGTTTTCTCCGTCAGCTGTGGCTGTATTCTAGCATTGCAATATTGTTGGTGTTTGTATGTATTGTGTGCATCTTTCTTGGTGTGTGTTACTTTCAGCATGTTACTTAGGGTGAGTTCACAATTCATGGCAAATTCGAGGTTTGAGCAGAGATGGGAAGTGACGCGTCACTTTAGGTGTTTTCTTACGTAAACTATCTCAAACCAGGCATTTTACGTAACAAAAATATAAAATACTAGCGCCTCGTCGACTTCGTTGCTGCTTTATTCTTGATTCTATTTTATATTTTTAATTTTTTAATTATTATTTTTTTATTTTCTTATTATTTGATATCCTTCTTTTTTCCATTAGAAAAATTTTTTTTCTATTATGTAAAATGAAATAGTAGTAATTATAAATCAATTTATTTATATTTTTGTTACATTATATTAATCTTTTCTTATTAAAAAATTAATTGTTTATTTATATTTTTATATGTTGTAAATTAAAATGCACCTAATTCATTGAAACACAGGTTTATAATTTTTTCTTGAGATAAACCCAAGACAGCTCCATCTATTTCGTTTCCATTTAGAGTGTGAGGTATGCTTTCTATGTTCTTTTTTATACTTTATGCTTATTTCGATACTTTTCGAGTTCGACTTTTTTCAATTCGACCTTTTTATGCTATGTTTTTTTTAAGAAAGGAATATATATTTAATTGAAGAATTGACGAATAATTGAAATTTCGTAAAATTGATTTAAAGAAGAATTTTAGTTAAAAATTGTTGAAAATAATAATTGAATATATATTCTAATGATTTTATCACTCGGTCATCTTTAATTATTATAAAAAACATGAAGAAATCGATCACTCCGAGTTGAAGATTTTTTAACTGTGTCACTGGTTCGAGCCATGATAATTTTTTTAAAAATGTTTATTTTATATTAATATATTTATAACATTGGTGACATTTACAATGAACGGTCAGTTTCGAAATTACTTTTCATTCGCACTTTAGTCGATAAAAACGCCATATCTCCAGTGTCGGTAATGTTTAAAAAATATATTTTCTACTGAAAGAGATAGCTTATGTCATTTTCTTTTCCATGTCCTGTTCCCGTATCCGTATTCATTCTGCCTTACAGCCCGTAGCGTGAAACGGAAATCCAACGGAAATCATTCAGCCAATAAGAATTGAATGATTTCCATCGAATCGGAAGTTGTCATTGGCTTAACGTTTCCCGTTTTAACGCTGAGGGTGGAGTCCCATGACAGCGTTTTGCGTTGCGTCGTAATGGGAGAGAAAAAGACGCAAATATACGTTTGCTGCATTCTCTCTCATTACAACGCAACGCAAAACGCTGCCATGGGACTGCGGCCTGACATTGGTCCTTTAGGCAGTTTCGCTTATGACGTCAGAGTCGATTTCAGGTGTGGCGTCAGATTGCCAGTAGAGGGCAGAAGCATGCAGAGCAAGTCTGTCATATGTTTTTTATTACAAATACTTTCGAATTTTTCATTTTACAATTATTACATTCAATCTTCTATTCTACAACCACGTTTTTACATGAATTTAAATAATCTTCTCAATTATTGTAATTTTAATTACAATAAAAAAGTGACAATACGTTGATAGATTTTGTAAAAAGTGTCTGTAAAATATTTTCCTTTTTTTAAAATGAAAAACTTAATTGTTTGACAAATCGAAATTAAATTATACAGCTATTTTTTCCTAGCACATTTTCTGCTTCTCAATTACAATTTATAAACAAAGTAGGGTAGTGGCACCAATGAAAGAACATTTTAAGGAAATGTATACTTTCGATATTTTTTATTTTTAATTGACATTCTTGAATTTCCTTTTAAACATATGCAATGAATAGCAAAATTTCTAAAGAATTTGAAGCCTATGGTACAAATTTTGTAAATGTAACATAAAATATTAAATTTTAATCAAATTTTGAAAAATGTCCATTTTACCAGTGAAAGAATGTTGACCAGTAAAAGAACAGTTGTATTTTCCAATGAAAGAACAAATCAAATTTATATTAATACAGTGTCTAAAAATAACAAAAATTATATGAAAAACGCTATACAAATATTCTGAATCAATTTTGCAACTTACTATTATTAATATTTTCCTAATTACGCAACCAGAAATATTATTTAATTGCACCTGAAACTTGTAACCTTTTTTCTGTTTATGTTTAATTCATTTGTCATATGTTCATAACCCACCAAAACTTTCAAAAATAATTTTCAGAAATAACTTGCACATTGAATCTATTTTTTTATCATAAACTATAATTTTGAAGAAATAAGGAACTAAAAAATATTTTTTTATAGTGATAAAAGTTATAATTTGTGAAATATCGTAATAAATACAATCAATTTGTTCTTTTACTGGTGCAACTACCCTACAAGTTTTAAGTACAAAAAATTTAACCTTCGGATAGTTTTAAGGGTTTTAAGTCAAGTTGAAACAATTAACCTACAAAAAGTTGAGTTTTCTTTTAATTCCTTCAATAGATGATTTTCGTTTTCAGCTTAAGCTAATCAATTTTAATAACAGAATAAGAATCAGAAGAAAAATTAGTTCGGGGGAGGACACTTTTGGGTTAAACTTACTTCAAGCTCATCTAAGAGAAAAGAAAGTAAATATATATTTGTCCTCTTCTACTTTATGCTTTGCTTTCATGAACTTGTCCATTAGTCTTAGGCCTCTAGCGCCACTGTGACCACTGCCCACAACTTCCGAAAGTTAATTCAAAAATTCCCCACCACGTTACTGTCGCTCCTCAAAAAAGGTAACTCGCCAACCATCGTTTCACAATGCAACCCAATAGAGAGAAGAATCTTTCCCTCTCTATCTTACTCTTTCCATTTCATTTCGTTCTCCTGCTTCTACCCCCCAATCCAGAGGCCCGACTTCTTGTTAGTGTGTGACAGTTATCCCTGTATATCAAAACCAGTATGTTACATTTGTGCTTTTACTCCCTTTTCTCATAAAAAAAATATCAATTTTTCAAAAAAGTACATTTTTTTTAATTTTCAAAAAAACTATTTTCCAAAAAATAAAAATGTGCCACATTATAGTGCATTGAAAATAATTCCACGGCAGTGAGAGAAGCAGCAGCAAACAGCAGACGATGGCAACGAGTGTAAGGCGCGAGCGCGCCAGTTTATCATAATCCAACTCAGCTGAATTCAGTTCAGTTTTGGCCACACGAAAACCGGCCTCATGCAACTTTTTTATTTCATTTTTTTTCCTCTAATTTCCCGTGAATAGAACACATTTTTTACTTTTCTTTTAATTTCGAAATATTTGTGATTTTTTTGTTTTATTTTGAAAGTTCTTTATTTAAAAGTGTTATTATACTACAATTGAAAGGGGGGGAAAAAAACAGGTAGAAAATGGATAACAATATTACTTCTCATTATTTGAATGCCCGGTAGATTTTAATTTTTCGGGAAAAAAAAGGGGAAGCAGGCTGCAAAAAAGTGTGTGTAATTGTGTGAGTGCGTGTGCGCGTCTGTTATGTGGCTCTGAGGGTTTCGAGTGTGTGCGCCTATGTGAAGAGGGATAGAGGCAAATAAAAAAAAGGAGGTCTTTTCCTGATTCGAAATCGAAAGAAAAAGGAGAGGAAAAAAAAGCAGGGTCTTAAATGTTACACTCGCTGTGGTATATTTGTTTCCTTCAGCCTGTTGTTTCGTCTTGTGGAAAAGAGAGTATTTAATGAGGATTCCACCTCTTTTTTGCCGGGAAAAGAAAAAGGAATGCCGCTGTGACACGCTCAAGATAAACGGAGACCCAAAGCAGTTTGGGGGGGCCTAAAATACTGCACATACAAGCCAAGTAAGTGCATCTGTATAAGCTAGAGGTACAATCTAGAAAAGCCTAATATTTTTTGTTTCTTCCTTTCACATTCCTATATTTTTACATTCTCAGTTTTTTTTAAGAATCACTCGCATATTAAAAATTCCCAATAATTCGTTTTTTTTTTTTTTTTGAAAAAATTTAAATTAGTTTTGTTGGTACCCTACAAAATTTTAATCCAGTGGTGTGGCATTCATATTTTTCTTGTGTGTAAAAAAACCCTTTACGAAGAATCCTTGGCGGGCTGACTGACGTGCGCTCACAATACAAATTCTCTCTCTCTCTCTCCTTCTCTTTCTTTCTTTCTCTCCCTTTTCCTCTCTTTCTTTCTCTCTCTCTCTCTTTCTTTCTTTCTCTTCCTGGAATTAGAGGGTCATAGATGATTTAATTTTTAAAATATTTCTCATTCAAATCTCCGTTAAAAATTTTTTTTTTAAATTACAAAAATACTCCTGTAAAATTTTCAGTTCTACAGGAAATGAATATTAATAATTTCGTTTTAACTTCTAAGGCTTTGCTTGTCTTGTGTGAGGCACACACAAGCTGGGGTGGGTTTTACTTGTCATTTAAATAGAGGTTAAGTGGTAACGGATAAAATGATTAGCCTTTTTTTTAAGGGACTTTGAAAAATTTTTATTTTCAGTCCCATTGGAAGTTTAATAGAATTTTGAATATTTCGAATTTATTTAAATTGCGGAAGAAAGTGTGGATAATTATTTCAATCGAAAGTGTGGATTCAGTGACTTTGTTATACAACATAACCTGTAATTTTATCATTTCTGCGGGCAAAATCTCAAAAAAGAATTATTCGCATTTTTTTTTCTTTTAGAATAAAAAAAAAATCCGATATTTGTCTACAGTTAGTTTTAATTTGTGATTTTGAGTTTATTTTTTATTTTCACCTTATATTGAACTTTACAAACTGTGTGGCAGACCTGGCAAATTTTTCACAAAAAAAAGAAATTAGTGTTAAATTTACACATTTTTAAGTTAATTTTTTATTTTAATGAAAAATTCATAAGATGAAGAAAATCATTTTTATTAAACTTTTTGTCTACTGACTTTTATCGGAAACATCGGAACACGCTGTGAAAAATATTTAAGGGTTATGTACGCATTTTTTATTTGTTCACGAAATTATAGTTTGTAATCTAATTAAAATATAATATTAGTCTTGGTTTATAGAAACTTTGACTTTTTCGAAAGATTTTTTTTTTAGTCTGGAGAAAAATTTGTTTTTTTTAAATATTTTTTTTTGTGTTTGAAAATAGAAAGAATTACTTCGAAGTGAAAGAGTCGACAATATATGTAGGGTTAGTAAAAAAAAAAAGTCCTCAAGTTTTTATTCTCTCACCCCCCGAAGATCGAAGTTTATCAAAAAGAAAGAAAGCCGGTTTTTTTTCGAAAAGAACGTTTAGTAAGAGAAGAATAATTTTTTATATATATTCATTTTATCAGGGTTCCTATATAAAATCCAGACCTCGCTTTTGTGAATTTTTCGACTTTTTTCGACTTATTTTTAAAAATTTGCGACTTTTAGTTTTTTCTTCCAAAAATTGCAACAAAATACCACATTTTTTTTACTATAAAATGCAACTTATTTCGATTTTTATAATGTGAAATATAACTATAGACAAATCTTTCAAAAATTATTTTTGAATAATTTTTCGAAATATAAAATTTGAAAAATTTTGAATAATTGAAATTTTGTAAAATTTAATTGAAAATAATTTATTTTTTTCAAGTAATTTATTAAAATTTTTTAAAATCAACTTTTCAAGAATTTTAATTGCAATTTTTGAAAATAATTGAATTATTAAAAATTTTAGTAAAAATTTTCAAATGTAAATATAATTCTAGAAGAATTCAGTTATTTAAATTAAAAAATAAATAATTTTAATTGAATGTTCGTTAAAATTGAATTCTCATAAAGAGTTTTATCAACAAATTTTTAAATAATTGAATTCTTTTAACGAATTTTAATGAAATTTTTAAGAACAATTATACATTTTTCAAGGAATTTGATTAAAATTGTAACAAAAATAATTAAAATCCTGAGATGAGTTTTAATATTTATGAAAATAATTAAAATTTTCCCAAGAATTTTATAAAAATTTTTCTAAAATAATTGAATTTCGGAGAAGAATTTTATTATTTATAAAGATACTTGTAATTATGACAAGATTTTTTTTTAAATTTTTGAACATAATTGAATTTTTGCAAAGAATTTTATTACTTTTGAAAATAATTGAATTCTTGCAACGAATTCTATTCAAGTTTATAAAAATAATTGAATTTCGGTAAAGAATTTTATTATTTATAAAAATAATTGAATTCTTGCGACGAATTTTATAAAAATCTTTTTTAAAAATTGAAATTTTTTGAAAAATTTTAAGAAATTTTGTATTTTAAATAATTGAATTCCTATGAAAAATTTATTTCTTATGAAAATAATTGAATTATTTCGAAATAATTTATTAAAAATTTTGTAAATAATTGAATTCCTGACAAGAATTGAGGGGACGGATTCTAAAAGGGGATACGCGTGGATTGTCACGTATAACTATTGACCAATAGTGCGATTTTCAAACATTTTCAATTTTCAAATTTAATGACACAAATTTATACACAATGAAAATGCGCATCTTTTTTCTTTAAGAAATAAATTTATATCTTTTTTAGTTTATGAAATAATAAGAAAAAACTAAATTTTTGAAAACCAAAAAATTTAAATGTTTTACGTCTTTAACTCGTGCTGGCGTTTTTGATTTTTCATATTTTGTAATCAAACAAAAACGAACTTACAGATTAAGACTTCCTGAAACCAACTATACTTTTAAAACTACAAAATCTTAATTAATAAAAAGTTTATTAATTTTTTCGAAAGACGTTGCAAAAAACGTGTTTTTCCAACTTTCAACGCTTCGTTTATCGAGGAAATTTTAAGGTACAAAAAACTTCCAGTGACAAAGTTTTTCATTACTATACGGACAAGTTTTCTGTAAAATTTTATTAACATGATATGAATGCTTACAAAGTTATTAATGTTTGTTTAAAGCGTATGGTGCGTCAGATTTCTCGCGCCTCGAACACATTGAGTCCCAAGGTGTTCGTTTGCAACGCGTTGAAAATGTGTTTGTCAATTAATATTGAATATTAATATTATTAATTAATATTCACAGTAAATAAAATTTAATAAAATTTATTTTTAACATAAATGTTTTATTTTGTTATATATAAAAAACTCAACTACAATAATATTTCTTGTATTTAACTTTCTTGTTTTATTTAGTTTAAGGCTTCCACTCTTTGTCAAAATGATCTCATTTACTACATTTCATGTTTTTAAAATAATTATTAAAAAACTCCTGTCCGTTTGGAGAAAGATATCGTACTTAACTTTTTACATCATTCATTTTGATTCAATTTTGAAAGCGGAAGGATTTTGTAATCTATAGTTTTCAAAAGTATTTATTCTTGATTCTGGTAAATACTGAATTGCGTAGCTTTCACTGATTTTAACATTTTTCGGGATTATTACTTCTTGGTCCGGTTCTTGACCAAGATGGCCATAATGTTTTCTCAATTGTGATAAAAAAAATCTCGAAATCCTGGGAAAATTGTATTGGGTTTTTCCGAACCCTTTTTTTTGCAGTCAACGGTCGCGGCAGCCGCGACCCATCTGGATACCATATTTTACTTAGGGGCCGTCCATAAATTACGTAACACATTTAGGGGGGAGGGGGGGTTCGAGAAAATGTTATCATATGTTACATGGGAGGGGGGGGTCAATCATCATTGTTACGTAATATTTATAAGGAACTTAATCTCTTTATAATCGATAAATTTTTCAAAAGCTGTCCCTTGCCGCCACTTCAATACAAGTAAAAAAAAATATAAATATTAATAAAATTATTCCTCTAAATGTTTTTTATATTTAATTTAATTTTGTATTGCTATTGTACGATATAAATACTAAAAATAACAGTAATAAACAAATTTGTTTCGAAAAACGTTAGTAAAAAAAATATTTTTAAAAATTACGTAACAATGATAGAGGGGGGGGGGGTAAAACGATTTTGTTACAACCTGTTACATAGGGGGAGGGGGGGTTCAAAATTTCACTAAAAACGTGTTACGTAATTTATGGACGGCCCCTTAGAATGAAAACAAATCACAAGTTTGAGGAAAATAGCATTTAAAAAAGGGTTACTTCCTCGAAAAGTGCACATGATAACCAAAAAAATTCTATTTTATGAAAATGTCTGACAAAATACAGATATAAATAAAATAAAAATACTTCCTCTATGAGAGAGCAATATGTTTTAACGACAATATAGAATATAGAAAATATAGAATTATTGTACAAATTATTTTGCAATATTTTTTAAAAAAATATTTCTTATATTATGTTTTTTACTTAGAATACATGTTAAAATAAATAAACTGATGCTACTTTTATATATAAAGTTAGCCAAATCGTCATAATCTCATAGTTAAATATTATTTAAAAATAATTACTTTGATAGCAAAAAACTAGTCAATAACTAAAGTTATAATATTTTTACTATTCTTAATCAACAATTATTAGTTTAATTAACATTAAATTTATGTCAAAATAACTATGCATTAATTATTTGTATGTCAGTCAATTTTAACTATCTTCAGACGATTTTGGCTAATTATTATTAGTTACTTTTTAATAATAAATAATCGTTTTTAACTAAACTGCGATTCCAAAAGTTATCTGTGACTTCATTAAAAATTGTATTTTTTTTAAGTAAACAAATGAATAAACTAAAATAGTCTTAATCTGTTACAAACGAACACCTTGGGACTCAATGTGTTCGAGGCGCGAGAAATCTGACGCACCATACGCTTTAAACATTAATAACTTTGTAAGCATTCATATCATGTTAATAAAATTTTACAGAAAACTTGTCCGTATAGTAATGAAAAACTTTGTCACTGGAAGTTTTTTGTACCTTAAAATTTCCTCGATAAACGAAGCGTTGAAAGTTGGAAAAACACGTTTTTTGCAACGTCTTTCGAAAAAATTAATAAACTTTTTATTAATTAAGATTTTGTAGTTTTAAAAGTATAGTTGGTTTCAGGAAGTCTTAATCTGTAAGTTCGTTTTTGTTTGATTACAAAATATGAAAAATCAAAAACGCCAGCACGAGTTAAAGACGTAAAACATTTAAATTTTTTGGTTTTCAAAAATTTAGTTTTTTCTCATTATTTCATAAACTAAAAAAGATATAAATTTATTTCTTAAAGAAAAAAGATGCGCATTTTCATTCTCTACAAACTTCAGTAATTCAAATTGCAATTTGTAATAGTTTCAAAAATTGACCTAGTGGACAAAACTTAAACGCGTGAATCCACGCGTATCCCCTTTTAGAATCCGTCCCCTCAATTTTATTAAAATGTTTAAAGAGAATTGAATTTCATAATTTTATGATAAGTTCTTGAAAAATGAAGTTATTTATAAAGAGATTATTGTCAGAATAATAGAAAAAATTAAAGGTTTCGTATTAGAATTCATATTAGAATTCAAATATATTTAAAAAATAACATTACAATATTTTAGAATTATTTTAAATATTTTGAAGCAAACATTTATCATATTCAATATTTTTAATTAAAATTCTTCAAAGTATAAATTAGTTTTTTTTTAAATTATACAAAAATTCTTTGAAGAAATTTAATTTTTAAAAAACTAATTTTTAGAATTGTTTTATCATTATTTTTTTAAGATTCAATTATCTTCTAATCCAGTAAATTAAAATTTTTAAAAATTTACTTTCTTAGACTTATTAAGATTTTGGAAAAATAACATTCATATTTATTATAATTTTCTAAAGTTCTTAAAAATTTCATTTTTTTATATTTTTCAAAAATTCTTGTAGTTTAGAATTCTTTTATAATTTTATAGAATTATTGTTATATAAGAAAGAGTCAGTTAAAACCGAATTGAATTTATAAAATCAGCAAAACTTCCTAATTTTATCAATAAAATATATTCTGAAATTCGATAAAAATAACGGATTTTAAAAATGAAAATGATTACTTTCGCCAATATAAATAGAATAAATTATTGTTAAGTACAATCAAAATAATTGATTTAAACAATAAAGTTTATTATTTTATCATTATCAATAAAGATCATTATTTTCTTTAGTCACAATAACGAATTTTAAAGAGTGAAAATAATTGATATCTTGATGAAAATGAATTATTTAAATAATGATAATAATTTATTAAATTAATTAAATCTTCAATTTCTATCATTCATTACAACTGCTTTTTCATTAATTTTTAAATTTAAATGCTGCGAAGTTGTCTTTTATTTTGAAAAAAACACCTGTGACAATGTTTAACATCTCGTTTTTTCTTTAAATTTTTAATATTAAAAATCTTTATTAATACTTATAAAAGTACAGAAGTGTTAAATCTTTCAAATCTTAATATGATTCAAAGTTTTAGAGTTGAAGAAATTAAATTTTTTTTTTATTTCTATCTAATAAAAATGAATCTTTCGAGAGAATCACATGAAATTTTAGAATATAATTTGATGTTTTTTTCTATTTAAATAAATATAATAAAATATTTATAAATATGTAGGTATTTCCGGACCTAACCGATACATTTTTTAGGTTAGACTCTTTTCATATTTGTCCGCATTTATCTCCTAATAATTTTAATTATTTTACAATTGAATTTATGTTAAAGATTAAAAGAAACTTTCTCCTTCATAAAAGACTAAAATGAATATTCCAAAAAATATGTAGACAACTTATTTATACCAAACATTTTAAATGTTCATCAGAGCTACCAAATTCTACACAAAAAAAGTGGATATTTTCGACAATCCTTGTGTTTGATTTTAGATATTGATGTCAGCAAGAATCCTACAAAGTTTTAGGACAACACAACAAAATACTTTTGAGAAAATTTTGTTCACAAGTGAAGGTGACATGTATACACCTACATCCGGACAATTGTTCCTCCTGTCGAAACATATCCATCCCAGTTGAAAAATTGTTAAAACAATTGTTTTTAAAACTTTCGGAAATCGTCATCAATATAATGCTTCCCATGAGGAAGTAATATCAAGTGAGTACAAAACTCTATCGAAACTGTTATTAAAAGAATATTTATTTAATTACTTATAAGAGGAGATATCAAAAAATATAAAAAATTAAAATATAAATTAATATATTTAAATATAAAATTTATTGTCCAGAGCTGTTATAATCCAACAAAAAATCTAAAAAGAACTAAAGTTACAAATGTTCACACGTATATCAAATTAGCAGTACAACTTCACGAAATTCAAAAATGAACAATTCTATAATTTGCCGTTAATTAATCGCTAATTAATTGTGAAAGAAATAATTTTGTAGTTTAAATTTTTCTTTTTAGAAATAAAAAAAGCTTTCATTTTTTAGTAACTCTTGTCTTTTGCGTCCCGATTGAATTGAAAATCTGTTTAGGATGCTATGAAAATAATAATTAAGTTCTTTTTTTAATTATTTTCTTCCTGGTCTTAAAAAATTTTTTCTTACTTTTTACTTCAATGAAAACGTTGGTAACATCAGTTTCATAAGAAAAGTTATAGTCAATTATTTTCATAAATTTTAAAAAATCTCGTTAAAATTTCAATTATCTTTAAAAAAAATAATAATATTCTTCTCCAAAATTCAATTCTTTTCAAAAATTAAAAAAAAAATTCTCGTCAAAATTTCGATTATCTTTATTATAAATAATATTCTTCTCCAAAATTCAATTATTTTCAAAAATTTTAATCAAATTCTTGGTATAACTTAAATTAATTAGAAAAATTCTCCTCAGTTCAATGGTTCAATGATTTTTAATATCTACTTACTATTTTAATAAAATTTTCCAAAAAAATTCGATTATTCAAAAGAAAAAAATTAATAAAATTCTACCCAGACATTTAATTATTTTTATAAATAAAAAAAATTCACCGTAATTCAATTACTTACAAATTTTTTTTTAACTTTCTTTGCAATAATTCCATTACTTTCATAAATAATACAACTAATCGCAGAATTTCAAGTATTTTTAGTACAATTTTAAAAACATTCGATTATTTAATAAATTATTCATTTTTTTATTCAAATAATTGAATTCTCATAGAGTTTTCTGATAAAATTGTTCTTAATATGAATTTTAGTTAAAAATTTACATAATAATTGAATATTAAAAGCATTGACAAATTTTAGAAATAATTGAATTTTGAAATGGTTTCACATTAAAATCTTTGAAAATCTGAATTTTAAATTTTTTCTAATTAAAAATTTTGTAAAACTAAATGTTTTAAAAAATTTCAATTATAATTCTTTAGAAATTAATGGAATTTTTTTACAATGAATATTTAATTATTAATTATTTAATTATTGAAAATAATTAAATATTGAATAAATTTAATTAAAAATTTTTAAGAATTTAAATTTTTGAAAAATTTTAATAATTAAAATTAAAAATTTCTAAAATTAGTTAATTTTTTTTTATATAAATTGAATTAATTATTATAAATAATGGATTTAAAGAAGAATTTTAGTTGAAAACGATAAAAAAAATTGATTTTTGGAAAAGTTACAAATAATTGCAGAAATTCAATTATTTTCAAAAAGTAGTAAAAATTCTTCGGAGAAATTCAATTACATATATCCAAAAATTGAAAAAAATTCTCTTCAAAAATTCAATATTCTCTTTGTAAATAATAAAATTCTTCAACGAAATTGAATTAATTTCCAAACATTTTAATAAAATTCTTGGCAAAATTTCAATTATTTTTAAAAATTTTCCTCAATTTTTTGATTTTTAATGTCAATTATTTTAATAAAGTTTTCCAAAAGAATTTAATGATTTAAAACAAATTTTTCTAAAATTCTATACGTAAACATTAAATTATTTTCATAAATAATTAAATTTTTTACAGGGATTCAATTATTTTCATAAATGATAAAACTCATCGCAGAATTTCATTTATTTTCAAACATTTTAATCGTATTCCTCGAAATATATGTAATTATTCTTTAAAATTTTATTAAAATTAACCGAAAGAATCCAATTATTCAATAAATTATTTATTTTTTTATTTAAATAATTGAATTCTCGTAGCATTTTCTAATAAAAATTTAATTTCAGAATTTTAGTTAAAATTTTATAATTTTATTATTAAAAGCATTATAGCGTGAATTTTTAGAAATAATTGAATTTTGAAACGGTTTCAAATTAAAATATTTGAAAATTTTTATTTTTTTTATATTTTTAACTGGCAATTCTGTGGAGTTAATTTTTTTTTAAAAAAGTTCAGTTGAATTTTTTTTTTAATTATTTGAAGTTTTTATTTTCTACAATATATTTAATTGAAGAATTTCCGATCGATTGAAATTTCAGGTAAAATTGAATTTTAAACAAATGTATTTGAAAATCCTCAAAGAACTTTTTCAAAAATATTAAGAAAAGGGACATTTATTTTTTTTTAACATATTCGGTTAAATTATTTCTTTAGAAAAATAAAAATAGCTATTCTTTGATGCTTTTGTTATAAAATTAATATTTTATTATCATTACTAAAAGATCAAGCTCCAGATAAAATTTGATCTAAATTAAAAATCATGATTTTTAACAGCTGCGCTAAAAAAAAAAGGTGAAAAGTATAAAAAAAAATTTAACAATATTGAAAAAAGTCATTTAGATCTTAAGAATATTCGGACAAATAACGATTTTTACCAAAAAGGAATAATAATCTCAAAATTGGGATAAATTCAAAAAGTATAAACTCAGAATAATTTTTTTTTCTGTTTTTAACACTAAAAATTAATAGAAAAAAAGTAATTAAATAAAATTGGCAAGAAAAGTAATTTTAGCACTACTTTAAGAGAAAAATTTTCTCCTTCCATGAGGAGTTCGTAGTACTAAGTTAATTTGACGACTGAATGAAATAAATTTTTTTTCACTACTGACTTTTGATTTTCGAGGTATGATCATTATAATATGGTTATAGCGTCTAGATTCCCTTATCTTGCCTGTGACAAGAAATTACAGAATGTTGTTATTTTCTGAGGCATTAATGAATACTAATATTTTGACAGTAGGGAGTCGGTTGCTTATTTTATACCGAAACTGTACAGGGCAGTCTAGTTTCTGTTTGCGGACGTTTGCTCATATCGAAATTGTCGTATTATTAAGTTGCTAAATTCAGTAGGGGAATTGAAGAATTTCATGCAAATTAATCGAAAGTAAGTCTTTAATTAAATAAAATGCAATTTTTTATTTTTTCATTTTATATTAGTTTGTTTCCATAGTTAAAACTAAGCAGTATTTTTTAATGCATATTTTTTAATATTTAAAAATCTGGGTTATTTGAATCCTCAATTGGGTCAATTTCGATCTTCTTTATTTGTGTGCTTATTTTTACTGGTTTTTTTATCATAATCATATATGTTTTGCGTTGCAAGTGTTTTTAATTCTTGAGGTTATTGAAGAAAAAATGTCTCTGTATTTATTATTGAGTGTTTACTATTTACGTCCATATGGGTGATTCTTCTTATAAAAGTTCTGAAATTTTTGTTGTCTTGATTAATTTTACAAAATCTACTGGACAATAATTATTGACAATTTTAGGTCCCTGAAGTTGGCGACGACGTTGAGTGTCAAAAAACAATTTTTTTCATGAAACTATAAAAAAATCACATAATTTTTTCAATCTTTTAGGATAAAAAAGTACTTTTCAAAATTTTGTATCCTTTACAGAGGTTTGAAAGAAGTGAAATTAGTTGAAATTTTATCACTAAAAATAAGAAAAAAATAGTTATTGATGCTAAGCGTCGACTTATAAATTATTTAATGAATAATTTTACTTAAATATTTTTAATAAATAAATATTAAAATTCTTTCACGTAATTCAATTATTTTCAAGAATATAAAAAAATTATTATATTATTGTCATAAACAACAATATTCATCACAAGAATTCAATTATTTTCCCAATAAATCAAATTCATCTCAGAAATTCAATTATTTTCAAAAAATCTAAAAAAAAAGTGTCAACATTTCAATTATCTTTATAAATGAATAGCAAAATTTTGCGAAAAAATTAAATTATTTTCTGAAATTTTAAAAAAATTCATTTCAAAATTCAATTATTTTCATAAATAACAATATTCATGAAAAGAATTCAAATTATTTTCAAAAGTAATAAAATTCTATTATTTTTAAAAAGTTTAATAAAATTCCTGACAAAATTTCAATTATTTTCAAAAATTTTTTTTTTTTAATTCAATGATTTTCAAAATTCTACTATTTTCATAAAATTTTCCAAAAGAATCCAATTATTAAACAAAAATTTTGATAATATTCTACACGAACATTCAATTATTTTTCAGAAAAGTAAAACTTTCAGAGGAATTCAATTATTTAAAATAAAATTTGCATATATTTTTTTCGAAAAATCAAATGTTTTAAAATTTGGCATTAAATTCTTCTAAATAATTTAATTGCTTTCATAAATTTAAAAAATTTTTCATGGATTTAATTATTTTCATAAACAATAAAATTATTCGAAGAAAGTCAATTATTTCCATAAATAACAATATTCATCACAAGAATTTAATTATTTTCAGAAGAAATAAAATTCAATTATTTTCAAAAATTTTTAATAAAATTCATTGCAAAATTTCAATTATTTTAAAAAATTTCTCTTAATTCTGTAATTTGTATATCTATTATTTTAATAAAATTTCCCAAAATTTTAAATTTTTTTTTTATTTTAAAAATAAAAATTTAATTGAAACGATGTAAATAATTAATTATTATAAGTTGTTCCATTTCAAAAGGATTTGAATTTGAAATTTTTGAAAATCTTAATTCCTATGGAAAAATTATAATGAATAAATATTTAATTAACCAAATTGTAGTGAGAAAAACGAAAGGAAACAATAGAATTCTAACTGTATGTACTTTATACTTACTTTTTTCTTCACCGAAACTTCAATAAATAGTTTTTAAACTTTGCAAAAAATTTAGTAAAGTTCTTCGCAAGTATTCAATTATTTTTAAAAATTTCAATAAAATTCAATGCA